ATATCCAGTTTTCACGACGAGTCCTTTTGATGTTCGTTTCTCAGAGAATTTGCGCCCTCTTATCACAGAATCTTTTTTTGCATAAAATCTAATTAGTCTCTTTTTGAAATACCCTATGCATTATCTTTCATTCAGAGTCGTAGTGGCTTACTGATTGCTAAATGGCCTGTACAATGACTCTTGGGGGCCAGCCAATGTACGTAGGGTTTTTGTTCTTTCAGACTTGTGGGAGCCGATTTTGGATTTGCCCCCGAACACGCGCGCGCGTGGTAAGGCAGACCATTCATCACTACACCACCACCTCCACCACCTCTTGCATGAAAAATATGCATATTGTCTCCCTTTCCATACCAAGCGAATAAGCATTGATTTCAATTGTGGGAGAACCTTCCTTTAATTTTTGGAGGTAGCTTCAAAAAACTTCCGTTTCAAACTGTTTGAGTAGGCTGTGACTGTTTAGCGTAGACCTACTGCCTCGCATAATGGTTGGATGCCGAATACACCGGTCACGCCATGTGCTCCATCTCCACCTCCATATGTAAAGGATGTCGAGCCTCCTTCTCGTGAAACGACTATATGCCAGGATACAGCCCCTCAATCACTCAATGATGTGGTGAGTGAAACTTTCTTATTGACTTATCTTCAAAGGTTTTATTTCTGTGATGCAAAAATTGAACTCATCTTTAACTCACTATGGAGAGGAGCAGTCTGATCTTCAATGAATTTCTAGCGCTAACCATAGGGCTAAAGAGCAGTTATAAGTTCAGAATCTGTAAAAAACAGGTTCAAAAAATCTGGTAATTATGATGTGAATTCCTACAGATGTCTATCAAGGCTGAGTTAAAGATTCAACGGGAGCCTGGAAGTGACAAGATGAGCCAGTTGGTCGTGTGGATTAGACGAAGCGATTATCTTTTTTCCATTAGTTTCAATGTTCTCTCGGTTCCCTTCTTAGGTATTTACAACAGTAACTTTTGCGCCAGGTGGAGCTCTGAACAAACCTCGATATTATAGTGTAGGTCTTCTTTGCTAAACTCTCGCGAAGTTGACAAACCATTTTATTGGCCATCACACATTTTGAGTTACTTTTTTATTTTCTTACTAGTTTTCCAAGATTTTTTTTGTACATTAAATTCTTAGGGAGATGAAAATTTAAGTCAGCGACACTGCGCTTGTATTTTTTTCTGGTCTTTTTTTACACCCGAAAACCTTTCATCAGTTAGGGGGCGTTGTGATCGATTTCTACTTTTTTTCTTTGGCGCGCATTCAATAAAGGTAGTGTGAGATAGAATCTCATCATTTCAAGCGCTGGTGTCAATTGAAAGGGTCGACAGCGTTCCCGTTATACAACGAGTTGTTCGTATTTATGGATTTGCCATTATGAATAGTTCAAGTTTGTGTTCAATTTTGGAATTATTGCAAAGTTTTTCTGGTTTTCAAATTTATTTGAAAGCATCGGCTCTAACGGGCCTGGGGGATTCTTGAAGAGGGTTGTTCCTTATTCAGCCGCCCTACCCTGGAATTGAAATTGAAGCGTCTCAGGGTACTTGTCAACCGTGGAGTCTCCCTTCTCTTTCCTTTTTCTCCCTCCTTCCTTCTTTCCTTTCTTCCCTCTCTTTCGAGCGGGGGCTGTTCCTTATTCAGCCGCCCTACCTGGAACTTTTTGATTTTATTGATTGAGCTTTTTATGTCCCGCTTTGGAGATATGTGCTCTTTTAACGCGGTTGCCCACCTCGTTACGATCCAGTGAAATCGAAAATGAAGCGATGTATTGATTGGCTATCTGGTGATATCGAACACGTCAATTCTAGACAAGCGATTGTGGCGATGAGTGGCATGATGCAGACGAACATTCATCACTTTCACTTGATAGTGCTGAAGAGGCAATAGAACGGCGAACACCACCCGGTGTTGGAGCGGTCGTAGAAGTGGCCGCTGCTCCGCAGGCAATGAATGAAGTCGAGCAGAAGAAACCCGCACGAGTGAGTAGCTTTATCTCATGAAATCCACAAAAGTGCTGAAAATCCATTCAAAATTTCAGACATTGCTATTTGGAGATTATGACAATATACTGATTCCTAAAACTCATGTGTATTATGACTTAGTGGACCATTTAGCTAAAGAGCAGCTCAGGTTAGTTTGCTCATTGACCGGGAAATGCTGCAGTCGGTACGGCAGGTAGTTCAGGTATGCCTTAGCCGGTGTTGAAGATAACGTGTGGACCCTTTTCGCTGAAGATGGTGCTATGAAAATGTATACCCGTGAAGAAACAGGTCGATGGTGGATTGCCGATAGATCCCCTCAAAGCTGTTCATCAAGTGCAGGTTGGTCAATGGAAGAATACTGATCCTGGCGTTTATCATGCTGATCATTTTCCAGGGAGTTTCTGCTCTTGAATTCATGCACTACTTCTTCGACGATAAGTACAAAATGGATTGGGACCACACTCTCAATGGCATGCAAGTGGTAGAAAGAATTAGTCGTGATACACTGGTCATTCATCAAAAGCACAAAACAGTAAGGATAATGTTATCACTGGTTTATTGTTTTCATCTTTGTGGGTTTGTTAACGCAGTTTTCAACTGCGTTAAGGGCAAGTCCGCAATTACCCGATGTCCAGGAGCCCTTCCTTGCAAAAGGAGCATCTCAGGATACTTGTCAACCCTTCCCTTTCCTTTTTTCCTCCTTCCTTCCTTCTCTATTCCTTCCTGCTTTAACTACTCCCTGCAGCTGCTGAAGCCGGGATGCTCTGTCTGCAATTTCAGAGGATGTCATGCTTTCGCGATTGACATTGCTTCATGATAAGAACATCAAGGCTCCTGTGCAAAGTTCATTCCCCCTCCTTCAGTTCCCCGTCTTGAAACCCATGGTTACATTGCTTTATGATAACACATCAGGATTCCTGTGCAAAGTACGTTCCCCGTCATTCTATTAGTTCCCCTTTTGAAACGTATTACGCACGAATGGCAATCGCTACAAACCTATAGCTACTAAGTGACTATCCGAGGAAGAAAAATGCTAGAAAAATATCGGAGAACATTCTCAGTAAGGACCTCTGGCAGCCTTATGTGACTTATCTGGAACTCACGTTCTATAATACCCTGCTGTCTCTGGCTCATTAGTCGTTTCTTCGCGTCATCCAGTACCAGTGGCATCTAACAGTGGAAAAATAAAAAAAACATGGTGTTGAAAATGAACTCGTCACAGAAAATGGCTTTTGAATATCTTTAAGCAGTAAAACTTGGGAGGCGGCGGAACTGAGATATGAGGACCACTGAGCCTTCGTTACTTACTGTAAAGTCGCGAGAGTGGGACATTCTTGGATGATTGAACTAGGTTACTTGTAGAAGGATGGACGCTTACGAATTCCACTCTGAATCACTTAATGGATTTTCGCCTAGGGCCGCACTCATATTCACGACGGGAATAGGAGAATCGGCGAATGGACGTTTCGGGTAAACACGCATTCTCAGGAAAAACCCATGAATCGCGTTCATACTTTGCTACGGTGGATCTGCTGCTAACCGTAGCGAAGCATGAACGCGGCTTTTGTGCCGATGAACACGCCTTCAAGGCGGGGGGAAGAGGGAAGGGTTAGTGGGTATGCTTACTTCGTAAGTATCAAAGACAGTCCCCGCAATAGTGTCATGGATAATTGCTGTTCAGTTACGAAGCGGTAGCTGACAAGTGATTCCTTAAAGAAGGAAAACCCAAGAAGGTTCCTCAAGACACCATAAACAAATCGCTCTCTTTTAGTCACACCGCCCAAAAAATTGCATCACGTGTGATTTTTACGCGTTTCACCTTTCGAGATGGGTTGCAGTTGACTGTATGTGCTCCCAATGAATAAAATGTAATAAAGGAGAGCAGAATTATTATGGGCACGAGCGCGGTCAGCAAAAAGGACATGCAATTCCGATTAATGCCCCGCCGACATCGAACAACTGAGCTTGCTAGATGCCCTCCTTCAGAGGGCATCTAGCAAGTGGGCGGTCCAACTGAGCGGGCGTTAGAACTAGAACTTTCAGCGGCTGTAGCTCGCTCGCTCGCTGTGGAGTCGCGAGAGTGGGACAGTCTCTTAGCTTGGGGGCTGGACTACTTGCACAAGGAAGGACGACCACGAATTACTTGAGCGCGGGGGCTGCCTTCAACATGAAATCAGTGAAAAACTCTTACTTTTGCCCACTCTTTTTTTCATATTCGGGCGATAGGGTACAATGCGAACGTACCGCGTGCCAAAGCATATATGCTGACAGTATAACTTGAATATCTTTTTCATCTTTATCGAGTTCTATTCACAGATATGGCCGGCTGCTGCTCGAGAATCGCTCTTCGTGTCCCATATTCGTCGGGTTGATGAACTGAAGAGCAATGGTGCTCATGATCTTTATATTGTCTGCAACAAAGATGTAACGCGGGAAGATGTGCCGGTGAGATTTTTTCAAGTAATAAATACTATCGCAAATTACCAGATTGGAATAAAAAAGCCTCATATTGCGTTGTGTTGAATGGGAACCCCCTTTTCTATTGAATGATGTTCACTTCTTCTACTTCCCTTATAGCATTTACCCGGATAGTGTTTTAGGCATCTTTTGGAGAATTTTTTCATGAGGAACGTGACTAATGATAACAACACCTATACTCTAGTTCGCTGCGACAGACAGTTGGGCGTGTCACGCTGCGCAAAGCGTTCCCTGCCTTCTTGTGAAGCGCGCCATGCGACAATAGAATTGGTAGAAAAGAAAACGAGTAAACGAACGATATAATACAGTCATATCACTTGGCTCGACAACTGGTGGAAAACGGGTCTGGCACCGCGCCAAACTCATCGCTTGGCAAGCCCAACTGTCCGCCGGAAGCTAACACTTATAGTAATGGTGAATTAATTGTTTGCTCGTAGGTGAATGTGGCTCCTTAGAAAAGCATTTGATTAACAAGTCACTACTAAAGTATATGATGGACCCTGTTAGTGAAAATCAACACACTTGCGACAAGATGGACGTTCAGCACTCTAGGTGGTGTCGGTCTTGGCTCCTTCTCACAGAAAAGTTGCCAGCAATGGTGGTTGGTGTTTCTCGGTAATGGACCAGGTCCCACAGGGGTAAATGTGTGGCTACACGGCCTCGAAGTGACTGCTTACTTGTATCAGCTAGTGTTTACGTCATATTCCCGTCTTTATACGGCTTATTTTCTGGCAATTTTTTGTCGATGATGGTACTTTTATTATAACTCGGAGTATGGTGCTGTCCCGGAGTCTCATTTCTTATCTGAATGTGTAGTAACAATGTGAAACTCCAAAAATCTATTCCAAAAACTCAAAAGACAGCAGAAGCTCCGGAAATCCGAGGATAGTTGGGCCTTGACGAATGTGCTACCATCGAAATAACCGCGCGATAAGATATTATTTCGAAATACTTTTGACTTTTGCTGTCTTTGAATTTTTGGAATAAATTTTGAAGTTTCACATTGTTATACACATTCAGACAACCCAAAATTACTGTTTACTTGTTACAGGTCACATCATCGTCTGGTATCCGGGTCGGTCTTACGGTTTCGATGATATGCGAGACTGTGATTAAAAATGGTAAAACGTTAGATGAGCTCAATCGAGACGACATTTTATGTAAAGTTATATATGTTTCTCAAGGTGAGTGGTTCCAAGATGTTGCCATTGAATAAATTACTAAGTTTTGTATCACTTTTAATAAGTAATTAGCTTCCCTCCTAGCTTTCTGTGCTATCTAAAGGTCCATAGTCCAATACGTTGCGTGCTAATAAATGCCCGTGTCTGATTGAGAAGCAGCTCTGGCCTGAATCAGTCTTTTTTTTTTCATGAAACACGACAATATTTCTACGTAAGAGCTGCAGAAGTGCTTGTGAATGAGAAATTTGTGTGGAACGTGGATGTAAAGGAGGCTCGATGTAGGTCTTTCAGAACCTTTCAAGAACTCAATTCTTTCAGAACTCGTCATACTTCGCTATGCAATCACTTGGATCGCGGGATCAGCATCTCTTAAGGGCGATGAATAATCGCGCGAAAAATTGGGAGCGACGATCGCATAACGAAGTATGAACGCGCTCTGAAAGAGTTGGAAGACACACACTGGTGCTCCTCTTCTTTCAGCGCCCAGGCAAAATTCTTCATTCTCTAATACTAAATGTTGTTTTCACATGAAAAAAATCTAAGTCGTGGCGTGGAAGTGAGGTGGTTGTTGTAAGACGCGACTGTCTCGTCAGTGACGTGTTATAAGAATCATACGACATCATGGCACGTCCTGAAACATATGATTAATACCCTGTTTCCTGGGCTGAAAGGCCACCCGTGCGTTATGCTGGCTTTGTTTATTCATTTCAACGTCGATGAGTCAGACGACCGTAACTTTTGTGGAAGATTTGGGTCTTGACTCATTTTAGCGGTCTTTAAGTTGTGATCATTTCAGTTCATCCTGGAGGATGGGTACCGACTGCAGCATTAAGACAAGTCTATAAGAAGGAGTACCCGAAATTCCTCCGAACTTTCACAAGTTACGTGCTTAAAAATGTGAAGAACAAGCCTTTAAGTATTTGATCTAGTCGATTTGCTTTCTATGAATATGTTGTGATTGTAGCCTTTCCTCGTGTGTGTTTCACTTGCGGTTTCATTCCTTAGTGTGATTCATTCATTGCATTTGTCTTTGCTACGTACTTGTAAGCGTGATGATTGGTAGCGCTGTGATGACACTGATATCACGTACTTTTCATAGTACTTATATTTGGCTACTAATTTGATTATCTCGCAGCTATGATTTTGATTATATGGCTGCAGAGCATAACAATAAAGAGCATTGGATCTTCTTGTGTCTTGTGAATATGTCGAAGTACTATGGCTCAATATAATCCGTTCTTCATCATTTTTCATGAACTAGTAAGTTGAACGATATCGAAAAGCTGTGTTTCATTTTAGCATTGAGGACTTGTAAGAGGACACGCGAATGCGCGTGTCTCCTGTATCGATTAGTCGGAATGTGCAGTTCAAATTTTTGATATGTATACTAACCCTGCTATTGGTACTTCTCATCGAGGAAGTCAATTTTGGCACAGGTTTTGTCACTGTGATGAACTATTATGGAAAGGAAGTGCTGATCCCGATCAAATCGAAGAGAGGTAAGGATGAAACTACCATCCTTCTAACCAGGGAAGTCAGCGAACTTACCATGGAACTTTGAATGGAGACCTGGGTAGATCGATAGAGTCTATAAGGTTATTTACAAATATAGATAGCAAAACTGCAACCTGCATTTCACAAGCAACTATGAGCAAATAAGTATTGTAATGGCGTGCGGAGGGTGGGCTTGCATGGTGGCAGCTGGGAAAGCATAAGAAAGAGAATCACGTTCGTCGAAATCGAGTCCTGGGT